AAAATTAGATCCAAGGATCCGTCGGCTCGGTACAGTGGTTGCTCGGTTTAACACCTTTTTCTCTCCTGCTGATCTAGACGTTTCCTATCTCGCGGACTTCCGTCCGTGTCCCGAGTTCGTACTTCCGTTTCGGGCGGGACGACGCGGGAATTGCGTAAGACCAGAGAAAAAAACGTCACAATATATATAAAACACAAAATCTCTTCTTTTCGAGGCACGTATCTAAAACAAATAAACTCAGCAACAAAAATAATATCACTATAATTGTAGTAGGTATGCTTATAAAAATAAAATCAAATAATATGACTAGTCATATATAATACTACATTATCACAAATATACTGCACATCATAAACTAAAAATAAAAAAAGAACATAAACATAAAAAAATANTAATGAACATAAATAAACATTATTAAAACGATAACTTAAAACTTTTACTAAAGTTTAATATTCTACATAAAAAAACGTTATATATATATATTTTTTAAACTTAATTATGTACTTGTAATTTTGCAGTATGGAATTCCAAATGTCTTGACTCAGGTTCAAAATTTATACAATTAATATTATTTGCTTGAAAATATGATCGAATTTTACAAATCGCCAAAATGGATAAATTAGATAATCGATTACGTTTTTTATTTTTTACATCAGTTAAAATAGAAAATATACGTTCCGCTTCAGCATTAGAATGAGGTAAAGACAGAATAGCTTCAACTAATAATTCTAAATTAGGAAACATTTTTTCATCATTATCATCTTTAAAATTTAATATTTTTTTCCACGTACTATGTCCAAAGAAGTCAAATCTTGTTTTTCATTATTGTCAAAAACTGTAGGTAAAATTCGCCACTCATAAGCAAGTTTTGAACAGTCAATATTTACGTTTATTTGNGTGGCAAGGAAATGTAAATCTTTAAATTTATTTCTACTTTCTATATAAAGTGCAACTTTAGGTTCTANAAATTGTAACTGTTCAAAAAAGATATTATTGTACGGCAAACGTTTCATTGTTTCTTTAAGAGCTGTTCGATAAAAGTCTAAACATTTTAATTTAATTTGTTTAATATTATCCAAAGATTGTTCCGCTAAAAAACTTTTACAATACGGCCCTACATATATATCGGTAAGAGATTTAATATTTTGTTCATCATCTATGTTTAAATTATCGATGTTATTCAATGCCTCGGGAATAATAAAATTTTGAGCTATTTGAATTATTATTTGATTACTTCTATTAAATAATTTATGAATTAAAATTTTGCGCGATTGAAATAAAGCGTTAAAAGTATTTAGAAAATTTAATGAATATTTTAGAAACAAAAAATAAGCTTTAATTGAATTATCGTTTAGTAATGACAAAATATCTTCCGCAGATTTTGAGTGATCTTCTACTATAGCCAAAGTAAAAAAATTTTTTAATACATCCCAATTCTGGAGTAATCTTTCGACACATTGATGTAAAACTAGCCACCTTGTATTACATAATTTTAAAATTTTGATTTTTTGTACATTAAAGAAATCTTGAAATTCTGAAAAAATTGCACAACGTTTTGCACTATCCGAAATATAAGTTGCAACTCCTCTAATTAAATGTTCACAATCTAGCGGTAATTTTTCACATGCTTTACTTGCAATAATCGCACTGGAATGACAAATACAATTTAACANAATTAAATTTGGAACTTCAGATTTTAAATGCGTATAAAAAGAATTATTACACCCAATCATTACCGATGCATTATCACTTGCCATTCCAATTATATTTTNTAAAGGAATATTATTTTCAAGAAAAAAAGCTTTAAAAATTTGAAATATTTTTTTTGCACTGCAGTCTGTGGCATCTAACGGTAACAACTCTAATAACTGTGTTTTTATTTCTTTATCTATTGAAACATATTTAACGAGAANGCACATGAATTTTGTATCCGTAATATCCGTACTTTCATCTACTAAAATTGAAAATTTTTGTATTTTTAAAATTTCAACTAATTTTTCTGTTCCGCGTTTGGCTAAAACGTCTGTCACAATATTAGTGCACTTACTTCGGCCTAGTGACAAATCTTGTACAACTTTAGGATCTAAACAAATATTTTTTATTACAGGAATTAAATGATCAGCCGTAGAAAAAGTTACATTGTGTTCAGCAAAAAAGGCAGCTAGTTTTATCTCCGCTCGTTTTACTTTTTCTTTGTGAGAAATAATGTTAACGTCGAGACATTGATTTTGACCTTTCATTGCATCTATATGTTTAGCCGTTTGTGAATGCCGTACTAAATCTGTTTTACGACACGTAATGCTGACATTACACACGATACAAAAAGCTTTATTAGATTCTGAATGGGGAGCCAACCATCCTTTGAAAATATCTTCATTTAACCACGAATTAAAAAATTTTTTTGTANTTTGTTTTTTAATGGCTCCTGTAGCAATATTGGAATCCATACTGCAAAATTATTGCACTAATATTGCACAAATAAATAATTATAACATTAACTTACCTTTTTCTACTACGCTCTTTAACCTTCTCGGCCCCTACTGCGAGATCCCGCCAAAAACTGTACATATTGGTGCCCCTCATTTACGTGCATATATATATACATGCATATATATATACATTACTGCATTCTTCTAGCAGCGCAGTGCGCATGCGCGAAAACGCGACTTTGCAACAACACTGCTTGTATCATTGCTGCATCTCCTGGATTGCTATCCCGCCCCGCTGCTTGCTGCTTTACTTATGCTGCTGTAACATAGTACTAGACACTGCGAGCGTTCAAATTTCGCGGCCCGCTGATCCTGCCGCCTGCGAGCGAGCTTGCGAGCCGCGCCGCTAATCCTGCGACCTGATTGGCCCCGCGACCAACCCCACGCGACCTTAGCGCTACTCGGGGTATCGATCGCTTATGGAACGAAATCTTCTTGCTCTTGGTCGCGAACAGCTGTGCGAGACACACGTATCTTTTCGGGCTCCCGTGCGTACGCGTATCTTCCGTGCCGTCTAAGTAGTCTGCTGTACCGCGATTTAAGATTCAAGGCGAAGTGATTCTCGTCGAGAGGGTGACCCCGGCGGAGTTCAGGAAAGCTGAACGAGTCAGTCCGGACGGAGAAGACTGGGACATGCCGGAAAACAACCAGCGACGGTGAGGTGCCCGTTTTAGTCTTGTTAGCCACGAATCCGCGTTGCACTCGTGTCGAGGCTGGTCGCTCGCCTTTCGCGTTTTGTTTGTGACGGCAAAGACGTCTCCTTGACCGTGTTTACGATTGTTTTTCGACAGCGGCCAAAATTGAGCTTCACGGGGCTTCGTGGCCGTAGTTGGTAGGTTCGTAGGTTAAGTGCATGTTTCGTCGTAATTTCGCGAATCGAAGTCAAGCCCTGGAGTGGCGATCCGGCGCCAAGTAGCCTATTCGCGTTATTTGTGTCCGTCCGTTTCTATTTCCCTCTGTCTTGTTTGTCTAGCGAGCATATTTGTGTGCCGTGATTATCGGAACGTATCGCTTGCGTATCGTCGGATCTCGTCTACCGACGGCAATCATCCGCCGCGGTAAGAAATCGTCATAACGAAATCGGATTTTTCTCGTGCGATCGGCTGGAGTAAGATGTGTGCGAGTCGGAAGCTGTGTTGATCGGTAAGGAAAATTGTGCCGAATTAACGTGCGGATTAACGACAGTTTCGGATGGTGAATTTTCAAGACAATTATCGCCGAACTAGTTGCGAGCGTACGGTGAATGCGTGTCGCCTTTCGAGCGCATAAGTTGTCCGGGATTATTCGCGATCGAGTAACGTATCGTACCGCCGATTTTCCTAGCGCCAAGATAGAGAGCGTTGCTAATCGTTTTGTGATAATCAAAAGGGAACAGCCAACTCCGACGTCGCACCCACTTTGCTTTGTATCGCGTGTATTTTCTTTCGAGTGCATGCGCGTAGATTGAGAAATCGGCTCAACGTAATCTTTTGGGCCTAGTGACACGAAACCGGCGAAAGCTGCGTGGCAGAGTGAGCCAGTCGACCAAATTGCAATCATCAGCGGAACAAGTAAGTCCGGGTTGATCCACGGCTTGTAAACAGGCGACTGCACGCTATTTTATTGCGGCGTATTGTTTGCCCTGCACATCTGCTTGCACTCTCTAGCTGTTTAGCCTGCATCTAGCTCTGCGCCCCGCGATTGCTATATTCTCGTGCCTGCGCTTGTTGTCTTTCAGCTGGAATCCTCGAGTACAGTTTCTCGTCCAGTACTTTTGCGGCATCGTTTTGATTTATTAATTTGCCTCGTTAACTCGCGTGATACGGTTTGTTAATTTTCGTACTTTTTCGTGGATTCCGTATCTTTTTGTTTGTAATATTTTCGATTATACCGCCGTAGCTTATTCTGTCTCATATTTCTTTTACATTCTTTCTTTAATTTCACTTCTGTTATCTTATCGCTTTTATATTATCTTGTAACACATCTTTTCTTTTCTACTATTCTTTATATCATTTCTTTTATATTATCTCTGCCTGTCTACATGCGTAATAAATTGTCATTTAATTATTAACTCGTGCTGATTTATTCTAACTCTCTTTCCTTTACTTGAGCTTACTATCGCGAGGTCAAGGGACAGCCTGCATTCCGAATTTTTACTAAACCCAGCCCCTCTCCGTTCCCAAAAGAGCTAGTCGGCCCGTCGTGCCGAGTGACGCTGATTTTTGACGCAACTCCGCATCTGGCGCCCAAAATTATAACCAAGTATTCGTCGACTCGACTCGACGGTGCTCGTTCCGGGCCATCTTTTCTGTCCTGCCCGTGATTCGACGTTGTCTTCTCGCGGACGCTCACCTGAGTCCCGGGAAATCCCGGGTAATCTCCGTTTGCGGGGGAGCGGCGCGAGAATTACGTTACCACCGCGAAACAACGTCACAATTTATAAAGTAGTACATATGTATTTTTTTTAAATACAATAAAAACAATTACATATACTTCATTTAATGTGTATTATTATTATATCATCAACATAATCTAATCTATATTAGGGATCTTGTAATGGCCCCACGGTAAGGTGTCGGTTGAACCTTGGATGATGTACCGCTTGTCGTCGTGCGGGCTCAGAGCGAGCTTCCGTTTCGACAAGGTGAACACCTCGTGCAACTGAGATCGTATGCACGACTGCTGTCGCGTCAGTTCGGTTGCGTTCCGCAGACATTGCACGTAGTTGTCGAAAGTAATCGTTCTCGCGACGACGCTTCTCTTCATACCTTTCACCTTCTTCGTGCACTTGCTGTCGTCCACTCGGGTCGCGTACATCTTCGCGCGCAAACCCACAAACTCCGTCACAACAGCACCGTTGTTCTCATCCTTCATAAGTCCCGGTACCTTCTTGTTTGCGCGAGGCATGTTGTATAGATTGTCCGCTAGATAGTCGCTCGTATCGAAGCGAGCGATATCGCGCTTCATATCGTCGTACACGTCCTCGCACTTTATGTGGTATATCAAACTGTCGGTATCGGTGTAGAGGATCTTGCAATCGTAACCATACAACGGTGTCATGTAGTCGTAATGGAATTCGTATAGACAGGTCTTCGATATGTCGAGTATGTACATACCGACGTACAACGGTTTGTTGAATAAAACTTCCAGACGACGCAGTTCTATGGCCACTAGATCTTCAGCGAACACGTTGCGGCTGTGGAAGTTTGGTTTTGCAATGAGCGCCTCCGCACCGCATCGTCCTTCCCATTTTGTAACAAGTCGTACGTCGGTGTACTTGCGCACGTTCTCCAGTCTTGCCGAACACCGCGTTGTTCATGAGTTTGTAAAGGTTCTTTGCAAACTCGTTGGTGGCGTTTGCGCGGAATCGGGTATTCAGTTCGATGTATCCGTGCAGCCAAGGTGATTGCGAGAACCGCAGTACTCGATGTATTCGCGTCAGGCGAAGCCCGTATCGCAGACACTGCTGCAGGTTGAGGTAGTGAATCACGTATCGCTTCTTGTTGAACACTGTGGCAAGCAGTTTGACGTGATTCTTTCCATGTTTACTAGGCGGCTCCTTGCGCGTTGGACAAAAAGGCAGGTCTCTGTGCGCGTCGTGCAGTTCTTTCGGATACGTCAGATCAACCTCGAGTATGCAGCCAACGTCGCTGTCCGCGGTGACCGTTGTCACATCGAACTCGTCTGCGTTCTCCACTCATGCAAAGTTACCATATGGAAGCTATTGACACATCGCCCACCCATAGAGATTGTTGACGTCGTAGTACATCAGATACGACGTCGGTTCTGATGGATCGTGCGAACGCGCGTACTTGTTGTTGGCGCGGGCGTATCTGTTTGAACATTGACTCAGACCGCCGCGTATGCCGCGTTCCACGAACATCACCATGTCGATGTCAGTCAGCAGCTCGAACGTCACACAGGTGTACTTCAACATGGCGTCCCATGTATATCCCGGCAGCGTGTAGTAGTGCGCGGGATCCAGTCCGTAACTCGCGATGCACTCGCGACGAAAGTTTTCGAATACATCAGCCAGCACAAGTACGTCTGTCTTCAGATACAGGTCGCTGTAAGATCCCAAATTGTCGATGTTGAATCGTTGCCAGACGTTCGTCGCGTGCGCGTACTCGCTCTCCGTCACTGTCTCACTGGTCAGCGAACTGTAAAACGCCTCGCGCGGTGCCAGACTGGTTTCCAACAATTTGTCACCGCTGTCCACATATTCGTATGGAAACACACCTTTTCGCGTGAGCAGTTCAAAGTCCTCGGTAGAGAGATCGCTGAATTCCGTTCGAGTTACTCGCAGTTCGCTTTTGTCAAGATAGGATGCGAGCGTTTCTAAGCTTGTGCTCAGAAATTTGTGCGAATCAATGAACCGCAGTTGCACGCACTTCTGATTATCTTCATCTCGAGTACTGCTCACATGTTTCGTGAACGATATGTAGGTCTCTTTTGTCACGGGCAGCACGTTGATCTCACCCTCGAAAGCGGTGGCCACATCCTTGATAATAAAATGCGCGTCGTATCCCGACAAGTTGTGGAACACAACGGGAACAATGTAGACTTGTTTGTAATTCAGATTGCACGCGAAGTGCGCGGGTCCTCTGAAGCGTCCCGTCAGATGACAGTGATCGCGCACTCTCATGTCATCTCGCTCAAACGGTTGTTCGCAAACGTGGCAACACTTGACGTTCCTAAACCGCTCGAGCTCCGCCGGTGTGAGATTCGCCATAGGTACATTTGTCGCGAACAAGGTCTTTGTTTCGCGAGATCGTGCAGTTCATTTACAAACCACTGCACACAGTTCTCGCCTCTATGAAATCTGTATCCGATGTCAATGTGCTTGCAGCTCGCGTAATAACCGATACTGAACACACTGTGTCTTTGATACTTGTGCGCGCTAAATGCGTTCTCCTCTTTGTCCTGTTTCTCGAGTACGCGCTAGATGCGTTCTCCTCTTTGTCCTGTTTCTCGAGTACGCACTCCAAGTCGGCGTACACCACTATTGGAACCCGTTCCTTGTTGTTGTAATTCTCAAATTTCAAACAGTTATTTCCCTCAGCGGGAAGAACGACTGCGCTGTTGTTCAATCGTTTACAATCCACGGTGTGTACCGCCAGCTTATCGCTTGTGCGGAAGTAGTGTAGACATCTATGTACGTGTTGCAATAAACAAACAATACACACAACATTAATTAATAAGTTCACCATCTCACAATTTAGAAAATTACTTTTTTTATTCAACATTGTTGTTACTGTTACACCAATCGTTCGTACTTACCGATCGCATATGTACTTCGCTGTCTTCATTTTGCTCAATTGCGAGCTGACTAAACGCGATAAATTTTTTCTCCACGCAAAGTGTCCCACATTTCCATTGTGTTGATCGGGAACATACAGTAGATTCACATGCTTCTTCTTCTTGTTCGACGTGAGATGCAGCGGTACGTATCCGTGTCCCTGTTCCGCCGCTGTAAACACGTTTACGGACACGTTGTTGTTGCGTTCGAAACGCGCGATTTGACGCAATGTCATTGGAAACTCTATTCCATCAAAGTTCAACACACTCGCGTACGTAGGATACTGTGATATTTGTTTGGAATGTGAAGTACTTGGATACAACGCGGTGATCACTGCCCACGCGAAACACGCATATTCTGGCGACTGTTCACTACCGCGCGTTTGAGCTAAACCTCACGCGACATTTTAATCTGACATCCTGCGCGCATCAGATTGTGACTGTTCACATTCACTGTGAGGTTCAGTATCTACGTCAACGCCCAGCCGCTGTCGCGTTCCTGGAACTCCTCCAGAGCGGTCATTATTGCATCCATCACATCTTGATCATACCACTCGCGCAGATCCGACGAGTGATATAATGCGCGATTGTGCGTATTAATCGATTTAAACTCGTTTTTTCACCCGCGACAAACTTCCCGTTGAACACTGTGTTCACTTTCACACTAGCGTGCCGCGCGATCGCTTGATGAACGCGCGCGAGCACCGTGTCTCTAGCGGCTTCGAGAAATCGACGGGGCTCGATGAACGACTTGTTCACCACGATGCCGGTCACCAAACGATTTTTAAACGCTGTCTCTACCTCGATCCATGCGAGTCCCGCACTCTCGACACCCGCACCCACGTGCGCGTATCGTTCGCGAAGGGCTGCGCGCAGACTTTCGAATCGCGCGATACGAACGACGTGCCAATTTATCACACCTGTGAACGGTCGCGGGAGTTTTCTACGACACTCTTCTCTCAGTGTTTCTAGACACCATTCCTCCCACGAGATGTAATCGTCCAACGTGTCGAGGAGCGCGGCCTCTTCTTCGAGCGGTTCGCGGTCGGTCATGTTTGTCTTCGCTTATACTCATATATATATAATTGTTTACTCACGATAGTATTATTGGAACGTATATATTTGTTGGATTCAATACACGCTTTTTTATCTTTTCATTCATTAGTTGCTCATAGTCTTCATTGTTAGGGGATGCATNCTTGTGCCACTCGGTATTCCAGTAACAATCGTTCTCTGTATATAAAACAAACAACGGTCGTCTATAGCAGTTGGAACACCATCGCTCTGGATTCCGGATAACGTCTGTCATGAAATCAGCGTCTTCGATCATTTGATGTCCGGTGACTTTTAACCATCTATTCTGCTGTGACGGGACGAGTCCCGTCACTTGTATATAATTTGTAAATAGTGTATATATGTTCGTATTACAGTTTCTTTTCTTTTCGTTTTGTTAAATAAGAGTAAATGTATAGTATAACACACACGCCTACCATAATTCCGCCAACCTTCCTATAGAATCGCTTATCCCTGCGAACTAACCGATAGTATAAGGCGCGGAATTATAGAATAAAAGCGCACGTGTACAGAAGAAGACCGGTGCCAGTACGACACGGCACGGGTGCGTGACAATACGGCGCGCAAACAACCGCGTACCGCACGCCGACCCTGGACGGACCGTAGACCGCTCCGGGGTATAAAAGCCGAGCGATTTCGGCAGTCGAGACCAGTTCCTTTCCCGAGCTCTCGAGGCAGTGTCTCCAAGAGCGATCCCTCCTGAAGCCGAGGCGTAGTCTCGGTGCAGATATCCTGACCGTCCGGTCGAGGCGTAGTCTCGACTCACCCGGTGCCAGAGGCGTAGTCTCGGGCACATCCTGACCGTCCGGTCGAGGCGTAGTCTCGACTCACCTGGTGTCAGAGGCGTAGTCTCGGGCACATCCTGACCGTCCAGTTGAGGCGTAGTCTCAACTTACCTGGCGCTCCGGCGCACACCATCTCCGTCGGCTCTTCGAGCCGCGGAAACTCGATCGTTATAACCGCCACACCAAAAACAGTCGTTCTTACGACTCCGCAGTCGTTGTCACGACTCTACCGGCCGTTTTCACGGCCCGGAACATCTTCCGGATACAAGCGTCCCCCCTCCGTGTAAATATACTCCGTAGGTTAAGATCTAATTATAGTCCACCGCGCCGAAATCCGTGCCGTTTGTGAGCCTCCGCAAACCATTCCGCACCCGGATTATCGCGCCGATAAAAAAACTAGTCTAATACTATCCGTTTATAAATACCGCAATTAAAATACCGTTCCAGCCATATCCGATGTAAATAACGTGACTAAGTTCCCAATATAATAATAACGAGATTAAGTTTAATTCAAAATTCCATTCCGGTTATATCCAATGTAACAAAGTAACGAAGTGCATAAATCACCCTGCATTTCAGCATTAATTACACGAGTGTCGCAATTTCGTCCCTTCCTCTCCTCCTAAACCCTGGAGCCGACCGAGCTGTCCGGCAGGCGGAAGGCCGGGCGAGGCCGATAGAAAATGTAGTTCGCCTGTGCGAATGTTACCTCGTTCGAGATACACTCGCGCAGCTACGAGTGAGCGAGGGAAGCAGAGGTTGTCGCGATTCGATATTGTAAGAATCGAACGTTTCGCGATTCCTTCCGCACACAGGACGACCTCTACCCGACGGTAGGTGGACGGTGCATACGCGAATCGTAAAAGATGCTGCGATGTCTATTCCACCGTTACTTTGCGCAACCGAACTCACGAGAGACCAGATATTCTCGTGAGTCACAAGTCGCGCACAGGTCGAAAAGAAAGCTCCGCCGCACCGTTAGTTAAAGTCGGGGAGTCAAACCACACCTCGACATAATCCCCCGGTTCTGATAAATTTACCGCGTAACTATAAATTTCGCGGAATGCACCTTCCATCCATTGTAACACTTCGGCACCCGGACGAATTTTGCGTATTTCAAATACCGCCTCTCTCCCCGTTACTCGAAATCTCTTATATCTATGTGTGTTTTCTGCCCGTAACTTTATATAATTATATTCACCAATCTGATGGTCAACGCTGATGTTCTCGCTAACACTGTCGCTGATGACGGCGTCGTCGGTGTCGCTGCTGCTGATGCTGTTGTCGACGTTGTCGCCAATGTAGCCGGTGTCTCCGCTAATGCTGCTGTCGAAGCTGTTGTCGACTTCATTAGTGTTAACGGCGTTGCTGACGCGATCTTTGTCGTCGAAGTTGTCGCTCTGCTCAGCACGCACTTTCTGTTCTGCGTCAGCAGCATCAGCAACGCCTCCAGCGACTCCTCCTTCGTATTGTATTGTAAACAAAAATAATTTAATACATAAATATTACAAAATTCTATATACTAACAAACATTTATTAAACAGTATTATACCTAATTATTACAATATTCACCTCCCGCTTCTTCCAGCACTTCTGCTTCAGAATCTCCCGCTGCTGAAATTGTTATTACGGAGCGGGTATCTTCGTCGTCGTCGACAGCGTGTTCGGCATTATCTTCATCGTCATCATCGTCGTTGTTTTCACCGTTTTCATCGTTCTCGTCGTCGTCGTCGTCCTCGTCTTTGTCAGCCTCCTCGTTCTCCTCATTATCGTCATTGGTGTTTTCTCCGTCCGACAAATGCACTGTTTCTCGCTCAAAAACATCATCACATTCTTCTTCTACTATCTTTCGATATATTTCATACGCGTGTCTTACACGCTCCACTTCCGCCTCCTCTTCCGCTTCTGCTTCTTGCTGCTAATTATTTTCTATTCTCATTCCATGTTGTATCTGCATCACTACACGTATGTCTTCATCATCTGGAAAATTAATGTATACAATAATATATACACGTTATTTTAATATATTTCTCACAATGTTTAAATATTTAAATAGTTCGCTTACCGACATCAACGACTACAGGAGGGGGAGGAGGAAGCTCCGGCTCATCTATACGCGGTCTTTCTACAATTAAAATTGTTGGTTAATATATATATATACAGGGTGCGTCGCCAAAATCCGGACAAATTTCAATTTGATATTTCCTCCGTTCAGTACCATTGGCAGATGTCGCGATTGGCATTCAAATAGCTTGACGCATGTACTAAACTACCATAACTTCGAAACAGTCGCAATGTTGAAACCCAGTGCGGAGTACAACCGAAGAGCCGCGATTATCGAAAGTATTCGCGCCGAGCGCTCGGCGACAGAAATCATTCGGTTTTTCGGGTATCCGAGATCGACTGTGTATGATGTCTT